TCTCAGGTGCTCTCATAATTATGTTCCCTAGCTTCAAGGGACCTCAGATTTTGATCCACTGGATGACACAAATGCCCAGGAAGGAGTGGGCATATGCCCACAGGGATGCCAGAACTTGTCAGACTCTTTCTAATAATATCATCTATTTATATAATCCTGCCAGCTCATGGGAGCCAGTCTCTAATGCTGGTTGATATCTTAGGAAACTGTTCAAGTGTCCACTCAACGTTCTCCCCTTTCCTTCCTTGCCCACAGGGCCTCTGGGAGTCCCAACTTGCAACCTTTCCCCCTCTAACTCTGGGACTTGGTGGAGGGACTCTCCTGATTGAATCTTCTGCCCTCATGCCACTTCCCAGTGCCAAATCCCCCTGAATCTCCTGTTAATTGAGGGCAGATTACCTCTGTACCCATAGGCCTCACTTTTCTAGGGCTCCAGAACAACCTAATCTTCATTCTCACATCTGCTCCTTACAGCCCCTTCCCGACACAGCATCCAGAGCGAACTTCTTAAAGGTTAGAACAAAGCCTATTAGCCTCCTGGCTTGAATGTCCTCAGCAGCTTCTCATCACACTTGCAAAACATTCCAATCTCCTTATAACCTGGAAGCTCCTACATAATCTGGTCTCCATCTCCTTCTCCACCCTGGGTGGCCCCACTTTCTTCCTGATCATGGCATTCCATGTAGGCCTTCTGTCTACTCTCAGAAGCACCAACATTTACCAAGCCCTAGAAATATGACTGAGGAATTAAGGCTACTAGAGAGGGAGACTTTGGGAACAATGGGGGCAGGGACCCAGTGTTCTAGGGTAAAGAACTATTGTGCTTTTTGAGCAGTACATATATTTGAGCAGGTACAATCTTCAATCTCATAAAGGGTTAAACCAATGTTATCTCAATTAAAAAAAAAAAAAGGCCCTGGTGGTACAGCGGGTTAAAGCACTGCACTGAGAAGCTAAAGCCACTTCCACATGAGTTTGATTCCCGCCTGCCCCGGAGGTGACCCACATGGCGTGGCAGACCTCTCCTGACCTTCCCGCTGCTCCCCTCAGCAGTGTACTTCGTAGATCTGCCTATTCTGCTCCCCACTCTGTCCCTTGTGAATTCTCTCACCGCCCCTGAGCCTCTGGCCTGTACCCCAGTTCTGTATGTACAAATAAATAAATCTTAAAAAAAAAAATCACCAAGCTTTGTTCTGCCTTAGGAATCTGCACATGCTTATTCCTCTTCCTAAAGTATTTTCTTTTCCTTTCCCTCACTCCCAATTTTTTCCAAGATTGATTTCTTTTGTCCTCAGTTCCTACGTTAAATGTCACCTCCTAATAGAGAACTTTGTTTGACTAAGGTAATTTACAGTGGCACAATGGAAGTCAAAGAGTTGCTTATTTGTTTATTGTTTTCTTGTCTGTCCTCTTGCCTGAGTTGGTCAGTGCTGCGGCCTGTATCAGTCAGAGCAGGCTGAGCTATGAGAAGTGGAAATAGTTGTCAGATAGCACTAAAGACTCACATTTTACTTATTAAATACTTTTGAAGGAGGGAGTGTCGAGAATGTAGGGAGGAAGTGTCTACTGTTACAGTAGGTTGGAGGGAGCTGACAGGATCTTGGTGGGGCCTGCTGCTGCAGCTGTCAGACCAAGGCTATCCTGGGAGTGAGTTCCTGCAGAAGCAGCGCAGCTCATCTGACCAGCAACCCCCTCAGACTTGACAGGAGCAATCTCAGAAGCAGTTGAGGCTGCTTCCCCTGGCGGGACACCTCTGCCTGGTGTGCCGGAGAACAGCTCCAACAATTGGGGTGACAGAGGTTCCTGCAGGAAATGATGGTGTCGGTGATGAAGGTGAATGAGGGACACAAACACTCAGTCAAGTGCAAATGTCATCTGCTGCGAGTCTCAGCAGTTCTTTTTTATTTTTATGTTTTTAAGCTGAGGGATTATATCAGCACATGCATTGAGAAACAAACAAACAAACAAACAAACAAACTGGTATCACATATTCCTAAGAACAGTTTGAAGTCTTTTGATCTTAGCCAAGTCTATAACACTTACCATTTTTTAAAAAAGATTTATTTATTTGTGCATACAGAACTGGGGTATAGGCCAGAGACTCAGGGGTGGTGAAAGACTTCACCAGAGACAGAGTGGGGAGCAGAACAGGCAGATCGACGAAATACACTGCTGAGGGCAGCAGCAGGTGGGTCAGGAGAGGTCTGCAGCGCCATGTGGTCACCTCCGGGGCAGGCGGGGTTCAAACTCATGTGGAAGTGGTTTCAGCTTCTTAGTGCTGTGCTTTAACCTGCTGCGCCACCAGGGAGGGCCACTTATCATTTTTTAAGGAAAACACTGCTAACAAGCAAAATGTTATTACTATTATCATTTTTTGCAGCTGGGCAAACAATTTACTAATGACAAAGCAGGCAAATTAATTTATATAGTTATAACTAACATATCTATTTATATTATGATAAAAGGTTAGCAAAACAAAAGGAAAGCTTCTTTTATTACCAATTTCTAAGGATCCTCATTTTTATTAAAGCATCCTAAAAAAAAGTTTAAAACAAGGCCAGGGTAAGGAATGAAAAAGTTTACTGTACTCAGTTCTAACATTAAGAGAGAGAGGAGAGTTGAAGGCCGAACAACAAAGGCTTAAGCTTTTTGGTTCCCAAAGTTTTTTCCGCTGGAGCTTAATTTAATGTGTTCATTTGGAAGATAGTGGAATGCGGGAGTTTGAATTATTGGTTTAGACAGGAACATGTTATCACAGTATGTTTTTAGCACTGTCTAATTTTGCTGTATTAACTTTACAGAATAGCCAATTGCTTTTACAACCAAGTGTAAAATCAATTTTTACTTTATCAAATGCATCCAAATGCAAAAATGGTTGCAAATACAGAAATGGCCAAAAGAAAACAAAGAGATCCAGTAAGAGCCATCTTCGGGTTCCCTGACTTTTCAGGGGCACCCCCTCATACCCAGACTTTGTCGCACAGTATGAGATGTTTGGCCCACGCCACTGGTGCCCGCCTGTCAGCCAGCCCTTCCAAGGGGCTCTGCCATTCACATTTACTCTGAATCTACCACATCCAGCCTAGGGCTTGGCATGAAGAGAAGCTGAATAGAAGATGCTACTGGTGTAGTTTCAGTAGAATCCTTCAGAGTACTAGGAATGGGGATGTGTGGGCTAGTGGATGGGAGAGAAGGAGTATAGCATTTCTAAAAATGCCCAGGGTGCCCTGCATAACATTCTCCTACTATTCTAAAGAATGTGGGTGAACACTGTAGGGCAGCTCTTGTAACTGAAGGGGGTGAGGGGAAAGGAGACAGAAAAATCCTGGTCTGTCCATGCCCTTGACACTGTTCCCCGAACTACTCAATTTCACGTGGGCAGCCTGCTTGGGGCAACTTGCTTGTCTAAACTTGCTTTTGATAAAATGGTAGCACCACAGCGATTCTTTATACCAGCTAGAATGGGAGGAAATGCTGCCCCTGACTTGGTTAAAATACGCTTGAGTGTACATTTGGTCTGGCCTCTGATGGCAATCACATCACCTTATTCCTAGCATTAGACTGCAAGCTTTACATGTAAGATCATTTAAATCTTTACACCTACAATGTAGAGGCAATGCAGCTGGGAAAACCAAGACCCAGAGAGGCCCTTCCTTTGAACATTTGCTTGCTTTGAACATCTTGCTTTGCCAGAACCATGCATTTAATCATTACTCCGTAGAAGATTTGGGTTTGAATTTCCTTCTAGGTTATAAATACCAGAGAGCTTCCTTTTTGAGAACTCTCTTATGCCTTCTCCCTTAGAGTACCTAGCAGGATTTCTGTCTAATTAGCATGCAGTTAGAAACTTTAATGTGGATAATAAAAGTAAAAGCAGGATACTTAAGATAGTAGACACTAGAATAGTCTGGTTACATGTTTTTTTAAAGCCTGTTACTTAGGACTAAGGTAAAGCTGTGCTTGATACAGCTGTTGGTGGAGAATCTGGACTTGTTAATTGCTTGTATATAGCAGTATCATCAAGACCCAAAGCCTGTCATATAATACACAGGTATCCTAATGTATAATTATTAACAAGGAAAGAATTAATTACACAGCGCTAGCTGTGGTGGATCTCCAATAAGAGGTAGTTTCCTTCCCTGGAGAGTATAGAGGCGGACATTTAGACAATTAATTGCGATAATATGCTAGGTCACGAGGTTTGGGTAGGGATTAGTGCAGCCACAAATCCTAAGGAGGTGGAGGTCAAGGAAGGAAACGACTCTAGTGAAGGGGGGAATTTCAGAGAATGACCTTTTTTGAATAGAAAATTACAAGGTTCCGGGAAGTCTGCTGGGGCACATTCGTGGGAGAAATCCCTTGGACCAGAGCTTACCGTTGCACTTTCTGACTCAGAGCTACGCCTAGGGCTAAGATTGCGCCTTAGGCTGTGGCCTCGTTCGTTATTTGCTAGGCACTGGTCAAGTAACTCTATTACTGTTAATGCGATATAATTAAATACTAAGCAAGTCCTGGTGGCAGGCGGTGAGCTCACGGCGGGAGCCTTGGCTGATGTCCTAAAAGCTTCCTGGACCTTTAGACACCCGCGCTCAAAGTACATTTCCCAGCAACGTAATTTTCCTTGGTTTCTATATATCAGGTCTGTCCTTCCCTTTTCCGCCCACTACTTTGGTCACGCCGTGGCCTAAATTCACCTCCGTCCGCCCACGCCCAGCGTCCCCAGACCATCCAAAGGCTCCACTGCAGCAGCCGTCACGCGCTGCGCGGCCGGCGGGCAGAGAAGGAGGAAATGGGGGTAGGCGGGGCAGGCGTGCTGACCCCGCCCCTACCCTCTGAAGCGGCTCCTCATTGGCGAAGCCTCTTCCCTGGTCGGCCGAGGCTTGGAAGCTCATCTTGGGATTGGCTGAAACGTTCCAGCTAGGCCTGGCCCCTAGGAGGTAGGCGGGAGTGGACAGGAGGGCGCGCTCCTGAGAAGTGGGGTTGCCTAGACGACGCCGGGAGCGCGCTCGGGGGGTGGGGAAGCGAGCCAGGGCTGCTCAATGACAAATCGGCGGGGGACGGCTGGGGTCCGGCCCCAGGAGGAGGCGAAGGAGAGGGCGGGGCGGGTTTAAGAGCTGCGGACCCGGTGTGGACGGCCAGGGCGGCTCGGGACGGTCCCAGGTAAGGGTGTCCGGCGCCCAGCAGGGCCTCCTCCCGACGGGGTGGGGCACGGACTAGGAAAATGGGGTGCGCATGGTGGCTGAAATCCTTCCCCCGCGATTTCCGCGCAGGGCTGTGACCAGCAGCCCTAAACGTCTCACCCTGAGGCGGGAGGAGGGCGACGCGGGGGCAGAGCCCCGCCTGGCCCCAGGAGGTCAATGGAGAAAGCCTCCAGGGCTCCCAGTCCTGCTTGGGGCTGGGGAAATGGGGGCGGCGCCCCAGCCTCTCCCTTTTCACTGCTCCTTCCCTTTTCCCACTAATGGCCTCTGCTTCCACTTCCTGCCCTTTCGGGCCTCCAGCCTGAGAAGGTCCGCTTCCTCAGTCGCTTAGCTGCCACTGCGGGCAGGGCAAGAACTGTAACTGTTGTAAAAACTTGTTAGTACCGTAGGAAGTTGTGAGCCAAAAGTTGTTTCTTGCCGCCACCACCTCCCCCTAGTAGGGGCTGGCACCTCCTGTGGCTTCTGAAAGGAAGCACGGTGGTTTGAACTGGTTGTCTGGAGCCGGTCCTCTGCTTGCCGGTATTAAAGGTTATCCACGCTTGGTTCAGCACTGCTAGTGACAGGTAGCAGTGCTCAGACTGCCTGTCTGTGCAGTGTCCTTTCTGGGCTAATTTTTAAGTGAACTCGGGAAACGTTATCAGGTGAAGTTCTGGGGAGAAGTTCTTGCCTCTGGTGGGCTAATTTGGAATTGCCAATGAAAGAGAACTGGCTGATTGTTTATTGGAGTTGTCTGTGATTTGATTTCAGCCCTTGTAGAAGAGTGAACTTACCGCTTTATGCTGGTTTCCTAGCCTCATTTCGTTTTGTTAAGGTCTGTGGATATTGGGTGTGTGAATGATCTGTGTTCTGGGCAGAGAGTAGAACCATTCTTGAATGCCAATGCTACAAATATTATGACAATGTTCTGTCATCCTAGAACAATAGAATGAGAATATCAAAGTTCTCAGAAATAGTGCAAGGTAGTATTTAATATTGGGAAGAAAGGGGGATTGGAATTAAAAGGCTCTGCGCCAAAAGGTATGATCTGGAGTATGACTTTTCACCTCTGAGCTGCAGAGCCCTCGGCTTTGAGAGGGTGATAATCACTATCCTAATTGGTAGGATGAAATGAAGTAAGAACTGTCTGAGACACTCTTTGTGGTAGTGGGGGTGGGATGGAGGTGGGGGGTAGGAATAAGGCCAGGGACACACATGCCGCCTTTTATGTGGTTTTTATCTGGTCAGCTGGACTATTTTCTTCTGATCACATCTGAGTCTTTCCTTCCTTTCTATTCACATCATTTCCCCTTGGAAACAGTGGGTATGCTTATCTGAGATCTTAGGCAGATTTCCCTGTGCCCAAGGTGTAGAACCTTCCCCAGGATTTTGTGTGGGGAAAAAAGTGTGGGTATAAATTATTAGGTATCTTCTGGGAATATGAGCTCTAAACACACAATGATGGAAAAACAAGAATTAGTGCCTTACGTGGGATCTGAGAAGGTCTTCATGGAAGGTGGAAGAAATGGAAGAGCTCAATTCTTAAATTTCAAGATTCTTGGCAGAAGCTTGGTTGAGACTCTGGAAATTTTTTTTTTTTAAAGATTTATTTACTTATTCATATGGAACTGGAGTACAGGCCAGAGATGTGGAGGGTGAGAGGATTCACCAGGGACAGAGTGGGGAGCAGAACAGGCAGATCAATGAAATACACTGCTGAGGGGAGCAGTGGGCGGGGTCAGGAGAGGTCTGCCTCGCCATGTGGTCACCTCCGGGGCAGGTGGGAATAGAACTCATGCGGAAGTGGCTTAAGCTTCTTAGTGCTGTGCTTTAACCCGCTGCGCCACCAGAGAGGGCCTGAGACTTTGGAAATTTTAAACTGACAGTTACTTGAGCTAATCTTTTGGGCCCATAGTACCCTTTTGCATTCAGTTACTGAAGTCTTGACCACTCAGTGAATTATGGAAGTTAGAAACATCTTTGGAGACTTTTGCTGAAAGCAGGAGTGTGTATGAGCGTTTGGATGGGCAAGAGTGGAAAGAAAGATGGAGAGACTGTGGCAGCCTGTCAAGTGGGTGCAGTGGGTGTGGCCCCTCTAGCATCCCAGTCTGGTCTCCAATGTCAAAGACTGTTACTCTTTTAAAAAGTAACCAATTGTGATTTTTTTTTTTGTTAGAGCCACCGGAAAAATTTTTTGGGATTTTTTGCCTTAAAAAAAAATTGAAATCTCAATGCAGAAAAAAGGTTGTTAGTTGATAATTGCTAACTTATATTTTTGTCATGTTTTTGTGGGCAACTTATATGTAGTATACTTTAGGTCCATTAAAATGGGAATTGACATAGCAAATATTAAGTTAGGTCTGATCCAAATTAAAATATTCCAAGTTATGTAACTTTTGATTAGTGTATGAGTTGAGTGCAATAGAATAATTGGGTGGTGTGTGGCTGGCTCTAAAGTTTGTCTTCAATGGCATTAAAATTTAACATTAAAATCTCAATGAACTTTCTACTGCTGTGCAATAATTATCCCAATTTGATCAGCTTACAACAACAGATATTTATTATCTCAGCTTCTTTAAGTTCAGGAATCTGGGAGTATCTTGGCTTGTTGCTAACAGCTCAGTCTCTACTGAGGTTTAGTCATCTGCAGGCTTGCTGGGCTGGAGAATCTGCCACCCTGTACCCCCTCACCCCCTTCCTCTCCTGCCCATGCGGGTGCTTTTGGCCTGAGACATCAGTTTCTTTCCACATGGGTCTGGGACTGTCCACAGTATGGTGGTTGACTTTCTTCCCATGGCATTCTTGGAGGTTAGCTACCACAATTCGTTTCTTAAGACATTAGTGAGAAAAAACCTGTTTTCATATGTGCACTAAAGCATGTGCTGTAGGAGATTAAAATACAGCTGGAGTTTGTACTATTCTAGAAACTTTTAATATCATACTTGAAACTTTATGTTCTTTCTTCTGGCTCTTCATTGTCAGTTACTAGAATTAATTAGCCAAATATTCAGTAGCTTTGGAAATTAGAAATTTAAATCTTGCTGGTCCCTAAACCAAATGGAATGGCTGAGTTTTTTTTTTTTCTTTTTTAAGATTTATTAATTGATGCATACAGAACTGGAGTACAGGCCAGAGGTGCAGGGGCAGTGAGAGGATTCATCAGAGACAGAGCAGGGAGCAGAACAGGAGGACTGATGATGTACACTGCTGAGGGGAGCAGCAGGTGGGTCAGGAGAGGTCGTCTGCGCCATGTGGGTTACCTGTGGGGCCAGGGATCGAACTTGTACTGAAGTGGCTTTAGCTTCTTAGTGCTGTGCTTTTAACCTGCTGTGCCACCAGGGAGGGCCTGAGGTTTTTTTTTGTTTTTTGTTTTTTCTTCTTAAACCCTAAAACACACTGGTTAAAAAAATAAAAAAGCCAAAATGATCTCCTTTATAAAAAGCTTAAAATAGTCACTAATCATCTATGCAGACTTAAAAATAAAACTCATTGGCAGATAGCTGAATAAATCTTTGAGAATCTAAACCATACCCTGCCCCTCCTCTAATTACTTTAAATCCTTGGACAATATTAATTTGCATAGTAAGTCTTATTTTTTTCTTTGGATGCCCTGTACCATTTTAATTATCCACCTGGATTGAAGGCCTTTTTTAAAATCTGCACTTGTTGATGAAATCTTGAAATGTATGTTTGGAGAGAAGAGTTTAATAATTGTGAGTGTAAAGCCTGATTAAAGGACTGTTAAATTTCCTTTCATCTCTAAAAATGCTGTGATTCTAATGTTTTAATATAACAAATATCCTTCAAATCCAGCATATTTATAACAAGAGATTCATAAATCCTGATAACATGTAGCTTCAAAAATCAAAATCTTCCGAGAATGGCTTTTTTGTTCATACTGCCCCAAAAGGAAGTTTTTCGAGTCACCATTCTGCAGAGGAAAAGTCAGCACAATTTGCATTTCCTCTGCTTCCTATTTTTGGCCCTTTTCCCATCTCGGTCCTGATTTATGAGCTAGAGTTTTTCTTTTCTTTCATCCTACCTCTTCCACAATCCCCTTCCTTTCCTTTCCCTGCCCATAAAAACAGGAAGAGATTGGTGGCCATTTACTGTGAGTTGTCTGATCCTGTTATTAGGGATGAATTTTAGCTGCTATACCTCTGCTCCCACTACATAGTAACCTTTTTTAAATCCCACATTATATCTGTTCATTCATTAAGTTCTATCATTTTCTTTCTTTCTTTCTTTCTTTTTTAAGATTTATTTGTGCATGCAGAACTGGGGTACCGGCCAGTGGTGCAGGGGCGGTAGGAGGCTTCACCAGAGACAGAGTGGGGAGCACAGAAGGCCGACTGACGAAGTACACTGCTGAGGGGAGCAGTGGGCGGGTCAGGAGAGGTCTGCCACGCCATGTGGGTCACCTCTATGGCAGGGATCACACGTAAGTGGCTGCCGCTAGCTTGCAGTCCTAACCCCTTGCGCCACCAGGAAAGGCTAAGTTCTATCATTTTCTAACCACCTGGACAGTTCTGAAATCCAGCCAGTTCCCTGTGCCCACTGTCAGCCCCCTCAGGCTGCCATTGTCTCTGGACTGTAGCACTCCCATTTGCCCTGGTCTTCCACCCTGGAGCCAAATGATCTTTTCAACATGCCAAATCTAATCATGCCATCCATTTGCCTGAAACACTTAATGCTTTTGCAGTAGAAAGTCTAAAATCCCCAAGCCACTGGCCCAACGAAGCCTCAGAGGGGCTGGGCCAACTTACCTGTCCAGTGTCACCTCAACACCATGCTTGCTTCTTTTTTTCTATTTTTGCTTCAGGTCTTCTTAGAAGCAACATGAGATGTGAGTAGACCATGTGAAAGGGATCTGAGGTAGGAAAACACTTGGCATACCTTGGACCTGAGAGAAGGCCTAGATGGCCAGGGTCTTTGTAGGCCATGATGAATTGAGGGTTTGGATTGTATCTATGGTAAACCATGAAA